AGGACGTATTAACCCTTTGTTTTAATGTTGCTTGGAGTTGCTGGCTCAAGGAAATACAGGTTTGACAGGTCCATTATCTGGAAGGTCTATACAGTACTACACGATACCAACTGCCATTACAGGGTAACACACGAACAGGAAACCTCATGCCACGCCATCCATACCCAACCACTCAGACAAGCAACTGACAACCAACTCTCATTAACACCACCAGAGAGCAGCACTCGTGCACACCCTCATTCACGCCACAAGAGGGCTCACCCTGTCACCCACTTGAGCTCACACGTGTATACATAAACACCCTTCACCTCTTGTTATGAAGGTGAGGTGAGAGAGGATCCGCCACAATGAATATAATACACAATTCCACAAAGTGACAAAGATATTGGTCAAGTGGCAAGACATGTGGAGAAATGACTACATCACAGCCTTAAGGGAAAAAACATTAAGATGAAAGGTACATCTAGTAAACTCTCAGGTCCCAACCTTAATGAAGTGGTTCTGCTGCAGTCTTATCTGCCCAGAGAGTATTGGCCGCTGGGACGCATTATAGAACGGTTTCCAGACTGGCATGGTTCAAGTCCGAGCAAAACTTGGGTTTACCATAAGGACCATTAAATTATTATACTCTTTAGAGGAGTCCTTAGAGGATGGAGACACAGGAACTTTCAGGTCAGTTCCCGAGAACACCCTCACCTCTGAGCCAGACATCAGGACAACCTCTGACGGGTGACGACCACATATGGATTGTACTCTTAATTCTGTGTTGTCTTATCACAACTAAGCCACACTGTAGAAATGTCCATTACGTTAGTATCTTAATTATTTAAATATTCATCTGTATCCGTATATGAATGTGGAGAGATTTTCTTTCCTAGAACTTATTCACTTACTCTTAGGAACCTCTGAATAGTGTACAGTATTTCTATCCAGTTCATTTAGCTCAACCTCCCAGTTGGGAATCAGAGACCAAGTGTTTGAGTATCGTTGCTGTGGAAAACAAATTCCCTCAAGGGGGAGGATTTACTGACATAAATCTTTGAACCGAGAAATAGAATATACTAGAAAGATCTCAGCACAATACAGTAGTGGTTCACGGTTATTAATACTGTTGTCAAGGGAGACGGGTTAAACTTCCGACAGCACTGAAAAACATGAAGAACATTTGGGTTATGACACAGTAATATAAAGAAGATAAACGAATGACGAGTAAAAGTGAACAGGGATGTGGATTAGGACAAGAATACAGTTAGTAAGATTAGGCAATGGGTAGGAATGGGTTGTGGACAGGGATGTGATATGATCAGGAATACAGTGTGGGAAGAAATGGTGGAGTGTGTACCAATATGGTATAGAAAGGGATGTGAAGTAGACGGGAATATGGGGGTGGAGCAGGAATGTGAAGTGGATGGAAATATGTGCCACTAAAATTTTAACTTACAGGACACACTTTAACTTATGTGGACTCTACGTTATAAGACTCAATACAGTTTCTATCACAGTAGCAGGATATAACAAACGTCCCGTGTATGTTACAGATACAGAACACACAGAGTGCCTTTGGATAGAGTTTTCTTAAAGGACAAAATTTCCTCACACTCTCTCACCCAGACCCTGAGTCATGGTAAATGTATGTAACGCCTCGGGACGTGACCAAGCACTCACATCAGACTGAAAAAAGAATGACAGTATACTCTAGGTCTGACGGGCAATACATAAACTCGTCTAAGCATCCACATATTTCCTCATTTGTAGGAACTATGTACTGTTATCGATTGAGACAGTGAGATGGATATACAACATTACGATAAATAATTTAAGATACAGAATAAAAAGTAAGTATTTAAAGTACACACACAGGCTAAGAAACGAAGAGAGGCACAAATAAGTCAATATATATATAAACAGAAGACAAATATATTAAAAGACGTGCTTTGAAAATAACATTAACGTCTAACACGGTCCCAGCGCTAAATCAGGCACAGACAAGTAAAAATATCAACCATGATGAAACAGAAGAAGAAGAAGAAGAAGAAAGACACCAAGGATGAAAGATGGGCATAAGTATACCAAGATAAGAGAGGGAAGGTGTCCGTTTAGACGTCTTCTTCAATAATAGATAGGAAAGATTGGAGTCAATATTGATCTAAACGCGACGTATTGAAAGTAGGGAGCAGAAGAATACCCTGATATTTACCCCAAAAAATCGAACTTAATCTGTATACGAGCAAAAAAAAAACCCCACCAGGAATCGCTTGACTATAGTGTACAATTGCATAGACACCAGATTGCACTATGGTTGGTGTTTCTGTGACGGCGGCTTGTATATACTGACCAAGGGAAGAAATACACCAATTACTGTTAAATAGAAGTAAAACAACACAAGAATTACAAGACGGAACTTATGAAACAGACAATGCTTATACAAAAACATCCTTAGGTCATTTGGGACAGGTCCTGATATCATGGTGTTTACCTCGATGTTCCCAGTGACAGTGTAAACATTGGGACCCAGAAATTAGATGAGGCTGTCACCATGGCTTTGAAAACTAGATGATAAAAGTCGACTCGCGAGCCCTCGTGTAAAAGGTCGACACTCCCACTTATACGCACCTTGATATACCTTAATTAAGTGGAGGATGAAAGCAGATTTATAATGACTTAATTATCCCTGGTTGGGACTAAACCTTAAACAACATTATTTAATTTTTTTTAGCATGGTAAGTAACTTGTTGATTAATGAATTATATGAGGATATAATTTAATATATCAGTGAAGTAGTCGAGGTTACAGTGTTCGAGACCTAAGCGAGACCAGACCGAGACCTGCCTTCCGAGATGCTCCTTTACTGTAATGCATTCAGGTAATAACATTTAACAGGTATGTGATATGACTTCTTGTTTACATGAGAAATATGTTGACTGTGTCTTGAAGCTCTGAATCACAGTTGAATGGTTGTTTGTAAATACTCTAAGTCATTGTTTCTTGTGGTCACTCGGGTAAATTATATTATACAAGTCCGTTACTATGCATATGTGTTCTTGTTATTCTACAGCATTATACAGAGATAAGTGTTTTAATATTGTATTTTTAGTTATATTGATAATGTGTATTCCGTGACAGCTTTTGTGCCACTTACAGAGTATAAACCTAAGACATGAATGTGATGATTTTCCTAACTTAACTTGTGATATATACAAAATTATGCTAAAATGAGTGAAAAGTTGTAGTGTTTTTTTGTACTTTGATTAAGGTTAATATAAGATTTTCTATTTTATTAATTTAAGTTGTGTTTAAACCCAAAAGCTTCGGACATTCAGCCATTCTTCCGCCTCTAGAAAATTATTATTTTTTTTTTTTTATTCATTTGTTGTATTTCCTCTCTCTGGCTTGGGTTGTTGGGCTCTTCCACTGTGCTTAAGACACATCATAACAATATTTTAAAATATATCTTAACGGTACTTTTTTTTTAGTCTTCAAAAATCTTGCAGTTTATATTTTTTTATATACGTACTGTACATTCGCCAAACTCTAGTGTACAAAGCTTCACACAAACATATAATTATATGCACAACCATACAAGCACACACGTGGTAACGAAAGATATACATACTCAGACATACAGCAGTCACGCACATATGGATCAGGATCTTCCAGGTAGGTACTGAAGGCGATATCGTACTGGACACTCTGTTAGATGTCAATTACCCCAAGTCATCAAGAACTCACAGAGCCACAATAAATGTTTTAGTTATCAGACCAGACTGAGCCAAGTGAGCCATTCTTCCTAAGACGGTCATACACTACAAACTTTTATTGCACCTTTGTTACAATACTTCACTATGACCTTCAAAAAGTTATGAAGATTATTTCAGAAACAATCAAATGCTATGCTGGTAAATACAGTTGAATACTGGTATATTCTTCACTGTGCACAGTCTCCGGACACTATGCATAGATTATTCTCTTGCCGAGTACGTAGCCTATCTAGTGTCTAGTTGGTCTTAAACAACAGTGAAAGACCTTATGTTAGCTAGTTCTATAACCTTCATATTCATACGCATACACATAATATACAAAGTTCTATTAGAAATAAAGTTAAGCATTCCGTCCCTATATGCCTCGCGGCTTCCTAATATAATAGAGGAGGGATGAAATAACATACCAGTCTTAGTGTGTCCTTGAAGCTTCTCTCAGTAATTGTCACGTGAATGAATTATGGCACACAATGCATCTCGTAAACTCATGAACATATATTCCCTTCACCACCACATGAATTAATGGTAACAAATGTTATTGACTGGAGAAGCAAGAGACTCAAGAACCTCATAACGACCAGGTAATAAAAATATTCATCGTGCTTTAATGATTAGACAACTTCCCATTTTTTTCTTCAGACTCATGTGTACTGACTAGCTGTAGCTAACACGCCTCACACATCGTAGTAGCATCATCAATAGAAGGTAACTCTATCAAAAAATCATTAAAACACAAAAAAACCAAAATACGTCCCTATACGTTGGAAGATTTTCACTTAAGCAGCAGACAACAGTACTTTATATTGGTATTTAGTATAATTGGTTGTACATTGCGACTCCTTATTTAGACACAGAGAGTTGTATGTATAAACAAGATCACATCTTCCGCTACACTAACAAAACACCAGTACTTCACATATATCGACGAGTTAAGAGACCTTGATAATATAATGTCAAGTGTCTTACAACACAGAAGACACTACATGTTCAGGAGAGATGATCTTGGTGATGCTCTCTAGGGACTGGCGTCTTCCCTAACAAGTGGATTAGTAACATAAGCTTGGTGGTTAATGGCTGTGTGTGTGTGTGTGTGTGTGTGTGTGTGTGTGTGTGTGTGTGTGTGTGTGTGTGTGTGTGTGTGTGTGTGTGTGTGTGTGTGTGTGTATCAAAAACTTAGTTCTTAAAAAAAATTACCTGGTCAGGAGTCTATTTAGAGAATATGTTACCTGGTGGGAAATTTACCTGGCGATGACGAGGCTGAGAATGAGGCAGATGAGCGGGAAGATGGTACTGACCACAGCTACTATGATGATGTAGCTATCCAGTGAAGACTCTGCGGGAAGAAAAAATAATCTTTACTAAACGTTCTCGCAGAAATAGTTGCCAGTATAGAGAGAGAGAAAGGAACCAAACAAATTAACAATATAACTCTTTTAACAATATAAGCCCTACACGTCAAAAAAAATGCATGTGGCGTTTATTTCACACTGGTATGATTACACAAGGCACAAACTGTAAATAATAATAATAATAATAATAGGTTAGCGTGAGAAAAGTTTGTCTAGGTACAGTTACATATACTGTATTTAGCGGCTCAGTGCGGACGTTGGGGAAAAAATGGTAAACTAATAAAGCGAAAGGACAGCGGGTAAAGGTAAATTAAAAAAATAACGAAGAGAAGGGAAAAATGGCTGAGTGTAAACGACGGGCAATTTACCACGGAACAGCAAACTAAAAGACCCAATTTATCTCATGAAAAAAAAAAAAAAATACTTCGTAGTTTCCCTTATTTTTATAGTCCCTAGATTATAACGTTAGAGAAAACAAAAACATATAAAACTCCCAAAACTTTCATCTAAACAACCAATTAAACTATTAAGCCTATATGGTTACTATAGGCATGTGTTGGGGAGCCTATAGTGACCAAGTTCAACAAAAGCTCAATTAGGGCCCAGGCATCCCATTAAGGAAGATTCCAACCCTGGGAATTAACTGCAGCAAGTGGGAGGGTTTCAGCTACGGAGGAATGTTGTTGGAATGTGCACAGAGCCCGTCGCCCACCTGAATAAACCGAGTTATGTCTGCTTATTATGTGTAGCCTCGAGATGGATTGTTAAATTCGACGTATATTACCGAGGATTTATGCCGTGTTTTATTATTTCATCTCCATTTTGTATCACTGGAATAAATAACATTGAAAAACGTTCTATCTATTGTGCTAAGATTTTGAATATGATTTTTTTAATAGGATTTGTAGCTTCATGAGAGTAAAATTCTAATGTGTTATACAAATTCACATCATTGATCTGTCTCACATGGTCGCTCATACAACAGTCGAAGTACCGATTGGAATAAGGATAATTGACATAGTAAAAAAAAAAAGATTGATAAATAGAGTAGAAACAAGGATCTTATAACTGAGAGAGTATAGTCGTTAGAAACATCACCACTAATGACATCAAAGTAGAATGACATTAATTCAAAGATAAGATAAGGAAACAGTCATCAATTACAGTATCAGACAGATGGACGATAGTTGGGTGATTATCAGATAAAACAAAAGTCAAAATTAAACTCTTGAACGGTGGAAACTTTCTTAAATATATTCGGACTTACACTTTGGTCGTCTGAATGTCAAGCTATAAGTAGCCATCGAGGAAACTCTCTACACTACTACATCACATTTTGCTGACAACATAAAGTAACATCAGTCATTCTACACCACAGTATTGATCCCAGACTCAAGTTATCCAGGCGAGCAACCGTTACGCCTATCAACCATTACGCCCATCAACCATTACGCCCATCAACCAATACGCCCATCAGCCGTTACGTCCATCAACCGTTTACACCCATCAACCGTTTACACCCATCAACCGTTACGCCCATCAACCGTTACGCCTATCAACCGTTTACACCCATCAAACGTTAAGCCCATCAACCATGACGCCCATCAACCATGACGCCCATCAACAGAGCCAAACCGACTAAGATATATATCAGAGACTAACCTTGGGCCATTCAGTCCCCAAGAGGAGACTAACCACAGCCAACCCCGACTCTGTTAGCCAAAAGAGTCATGGTACCTGTCCGATCTATTAAGCGGCGTCATCCACAAACGTTGTAACGGCACTGACTCTAAGGCCCAGCAAGGGAAATTGTTGAACCCCCACCCCCAACCCCAAGAGCCTGTTCATACAACCGCGTCGTGCCTCTCTCTAGCCACCGGAAAATCTCCTTGAGGCAATGAAAGCAATTAGAACCTGAACTCTACCCCATGTCCCTATGATAGCTTTCCCTTATACAGCAGGACAACTTATTAATCTATTTTAAAAATGAACGAAGGTGTGACGAATGTTGATGACCAAAGTATTAGTGAAGCTTAATATAACTTGTTACTATTTGGCACCAGTTCAGGAGCTTTAAACCTTTGCTATGTAAGGTACTTTACACCTATAGGCTAAATCAACTGTTGTACACACATAGACTCTGATACTAACCTGATGCTCCAGGCACTACACCGGTGTTGTTGCTGGTCTGGACGCCTGGCGGGTGCGGCCCCGTTGACTTGGATTTGTGCTCTTCTACGACTGACCCGATGAATCTCTCCGCCACCGCACCACCCATTACCAGGGTCACCATGGTACCTGTTAGGAAGTACCAAGGTGTTAGCATGTTACCTGTAGGGAGGTACCAAGGTATGGGTGTACTAACTGTCGAGATATAACAAAATGCTATTCTGATGATTATAGATAGATATCTTGTTACTAATAGGGAAGTACCATTACAATATATAAGGAGAGGTACTGTACCATGGTGTTATAATGGTGACAAACGGAAGGTCATTAGGGATAATGGGAAAACAACACACTTTATACTGAGCCACACATGGAGACCTATTTACTGCGAGTACCCTGGAATCAAACCAAAGACCCTTAGGGCAGTAGGTGAGATCTGTACCCACTCAGCCGCCGCGCCCCGTTGAGAGACGGAAGCAAGGTATTATTCTCGTACCTACCGGGAAAGTACCAAAGTCTCGTTATGGTACTAATGCTTTCTTATGGTATTTGTGGAGTTACCAAGATGTTGATATGCCAGAGGTGAGGTACTAAGCTTTATCGTGGGCCTATAGTGAGTTACTGTATCAAGCTTTTATTTTGGACCTGCAGTGACATATCAAGCTTTTATCACGGACCTTTTGTGACGTATTAAGCTTTTATCATGGCACTGTAGTGACGTATCAAGCTTTTATTGTGGACCTGTAGTGACGTATGAAGCTTTTATCAAGGACGTGTGGTGACGTATCAAGCTTTTATCAAGATCCTGTAGCGAGGTACTATTAACCAGAAAAATCTCAACTCCAGCTAATTTCACCAAAAGATTAACCATCCTAACGCTAACCTAACCTAACCTAACCAAACATTTTCAGCTGCTCATCTCTGTTAATGACTAACCAGCTAATTTACACCAAATAATATACAAGATTAACCATCCTCAAAACAGTTCATTTCAACATAGTGACTAGTGTTTACCTGAAACACTGATTTATTACCAAACAATGGTTTCTGGGCTGCTAGCGATCTCGTGTATGGGCTGGATCGAACAGCTTCTTCCTAGTCTGTCGTGTAGATCGGTTACAGCCCAACTTGTTCTTCCTTATAACTTATAGTAGGAGCAGATCAACCTCTTGTATATCCCTATTTGTTGTTATAATTTGTTCTGTTTCTTTCCGTGTACGGTTGACTGGTAATTTTATTATTATTACTCTCCAGTCTCTTAGCGGTGCAGTATCTGAAAACCAAAAGGTCTTTCAGCCCAATGTGTTTGTGGTGTTTAGATTAAGCCAGTGTTTGGTTCCCATGGTGGTGGTCTTTGATAACGCAGGTGATGTAATCCCCCAGTGGCCAGCCTAAGTTTCGCTGACACTACACCCGACAGACAGACGGACAGACGGACAGACAAACAGGATGTGAGATAACACCTTCATGTTCCTTGTGTTTCCATAAAGATGTTTCTATGAAAGTTATCGTCATTAGACATTAAAGGATCTACTGTGTTCAGCTTATTGGTTGAATAGTGATACAAAAGCCTTTACTGAGTAGGTTATGTAGTGGCACTTGTTTGACTCAAAGATAAGATTCAGCCTCTTCCAGACGTTATCAGGTTCCCTCTTTTCCTCTCATTATCTCTTATTGATATCGTTGTCACCCTAAAACACACTATAAGATGCCTTCACTAGTTTCTCACCAACAAATATATGTACGTCAGACCTTCAAGCACATCACTCTATAACCTCTTTAATAAACAGGCAACTGTACAACTTATTTTTCAAACACAAAGCCTCGCGGCCTGTTTATCAGGCAAACCACTATATCGACTGTTAATCAAACAATCGACCCCGCAGCTTGTTTATCCAACACCAATTCGTTATCAGTGGACTCTATTGTCACCTCTGTGATTGCTCCTTCCCACAATATATCAATTGAAGTGGAGCCAATCACTTATCAACAAGCTCTCCACGTCGTTCTCTGTTCGGAGGACCCTCTGTCACCCTCGCCACCTCTTCGCTCATCGAGCTGCTCATTGAAGTGGCTTTCCCTTCATCACTAACAATACGGTGCCTAACATGTTGGACAATATGGCTGAACACTGATTTTTTATCTTGTATGTTGACCAGAAGTATAATGGGTACAAATTATAAGTATGTACAGTACAGTACATCTCTTCTTCGCGTGGGTGTTGGTGCCAACTGAGTCAGACTTGCGCGACCATTATATAAACTATACTTCTGTTCGCCCTTTCCTGTATCGAATTAACCACATGTGGAGAGCAGCGACCGTATCGGACAGGCTGGTGCAGAACCTCAGGCCACAAATAATCATTTATATCCCGGAATACCACAGTGGAACTCCCTCCTTCACAAGTAGATTCGTAAACAACAAATGTATTATCTCTTTCTTCGTCATTTATTAAGAGAAAAAGTTTGATTTTTTGTTATTTATCAAGAAGACTCAGACAACCAACACGTAGAATAATGTTTTCCGGATATTACTGTAATGTAGTGCAAATGTCCCATGGTCTTCACTGTCATAGACTAACTTCTGTTTTGATAACCTGCTCTTTTATTTACGTGGCTTCATCCATAGCTGGCCTGAACGTAACTAACAACATACACTCGTACAGAAATATCCGAAATATATCCCAACGACTTTGAATAATGATCAAAGATACACCTCCAAGTCTAATTTTTGTCTTAATAAACTACAGTATCTCCACTAATAACTCCTACAGAATTAGCGTTATTTTCGTTCATTTATAATTATGTAACAAATAGTAACGATGTACACACTACTGAGTTAATACCTTAGATATTATACAACAGATCAACAAATCCATTACGTCCTAATTTCCCGCCGCTCTGAACCAATCTCGTGAAGGCTGGGAGATCAAAGGTGACGGTGAGAGGGGAGTAGGCCAGCTGCACCTTCTATCATCACAGTATAGTGTGCCGAGACTCATATGATAGGAAAGTATATAGAGTTTTTTTCAGTTCTTAGATAATTCTCAGTAAAAAAAATGCAAACTTTAGGAACAGAAAATACATGATCACAAAAATACATGAACAATGCGATATGGATATTACAACAACTTCATGAAACTGACTGCTGAAAACTGAAACAATTAACCGTTTTTTATTCACATTCATGAAATTTGATGTGTAAAGATTATTTGTCATATTACTACAGTTATTCTTAAAAGTGTTATGAACTACAACATTATTGGACAAGTTTGGGACACTTTTCTTATTCCTTCTCCATCCAGTGACCTCTCTCTCTGCTCGCCAGCTTAGGATGTGGCTTTTCTATCCTCCATAACCCACACACGACTGCTACCATAACCCCGGCGAAGAACCGTCTCAGCACCAGCTAAAACTCGCCCATGCTCATAAAAAAAACTCATCTAGAGGGAGTCGAAGGGGGAGGAAACATTTGAGAGGGACACAAAAGTCTATAATGCAACGAAAAATCCAGAAGAGATACAGTAAATGAGAGAGGTTGAACCACATCACCGCAAGGCTGCTGGTATACGAGGAGCCTTTGATGAGGTGAAGCTTCTGCTCTCCCTCCCTGATCTGAAAAATTTCCTGCCAATAAAAATGAAATATAAATGGTAAGCAAACATTGGCTTCCCTAAACCATTTGGGAAGAAAAATCCGTCGGTTTATTTGAGGACAAAAGGGACGTATGTGAGAAAACTTATAAAAAGAATGTCGAGAGAAAATCATATTAATGCATAAATAAACTCCATATTTTTTTTGTACAAGTATATCAAAATATCACACACACACACACACACACACACACACACACACACACACACACACACACACACACACACACACACGGAAGAGATGAAACTGAGGACCGTATGTCAGGGTAGACTAAAGTGATCCGACTATTTACAAACTGCCGAGTGGCCAAAACTACTGAGCCGAGTGGAAATTCAATATGTGGAATAGATCTTTTAATGACATTCTTTATACCTGAATTATCCGAGAGTGGAAGTGTGCCTCGTAAGCCTGATGATCTGTTAGTAACTGCGGGTGAAGCATATTGTAGATTTAGCCTTTTTTTTCCACTTACATATGTGTGATTATGAGTAAATCTCCAGCTATGCGTTGTAAAGATTATCTCATTACTGTCAACCTACCATAGTCAGTGCCTCGACGATCTACACTCACCAGCGCCAACACCGAACATCCTTCACTGGCCTACGAGGGCATAATGAAACACTCCAGAATATTTCATTTGATTTGCTGAAACTTTCCTTCATATATTATAACCTGGATTAATGCTGTGTGGAATAATCTGTCATGGTGTGTTTTTCTACCTCATTTAACCCCATTAGTTTAAATCGCTTTCATCATAGGACCTTGATCTCTCGTCAGGGGATGCACTGATGAGTAGAGCTGACAATGACGGATCCCTCTCTGCGCTTTTATTTGTAAATACATAGAAGAAAAAAATCCCTCCCATCTGGAAACTTTTGTAATATCTTATGGTAGATTGTTCAAAATGATTAATTATTACAAAAAACACAAAGGAATGTTTGGGAACCAAATAACTTTTAGAATAAGGTAAAGAACTAGCTTGGGATAATACAGTACCTATAGTATGGAGCGTGAGGAAGGCCCCTCAGTGATGCTCAGAGGTAGGTGGAGACGGAGGCACGGCAGTCATCATGACCTCGCTCACACCTGTCGAGAAGAAGCCAGTGTTATCTAAGCCACAAACACCTCACGTGGAGGAACACCCGCCAAGAACACTAAAATTCTGAAATCTTAAAGAATAAAAGTATTAAAAAAAAAAAAAAAAAAAAAATTATATATATATATATATATATATATATATATATATATATATATATATATATATATATATATATATATATATATATATATATATATATATATATATATATATATATATATATATGTGTGTGTGTGTGTGTGTGTGTGTGTGTGTTTCTTTGTGCAATATGTTAGTAAATTGAACAATAATTTATATATCATCAAAAACAAGGAAATTCTATGTTTGCTTGTTATGGATATTTTTCGGGGTTTTTTCTCAAATATCGGGAAATTTCTGTAGAAGAGTTTGTTTTTGATGTGTTTGTGAGTATTAACTTATCTGTTGATTTTGCATGACAGATAATGTTATTTACTGTGTTTGGTTACGGGTAAAGAATGACAACAAATAACGAATATACAGTAATTATTATAAGCATCAGTGTCAGTGGGTGTTAACAAAAAGAATAAACTTCCTCTAGCCTTCATTCTGCTGTTTACGTTAACCTTCTCTTCCACCAGTGTCATTCAAATCATTTATATTCCACTTCACTCTATACTCACCTTCTGTCTAAATATTACTTGTTGTTTTCTATCTCAGTTCCCAGGTGAGTTAGGTTCTCTTGCCCTAAGGAACCAGTTGTGCTAGTAGAGGAGACGTGTTATAAAAGTGGTCTCCCAACGCCTCCGCCTGATAGTATACATGAACCCCGAACCTTGCGATGGTGCATAAGAAGGCCGTCCAATCAGCAGGCAAATTATTCAGGGATAGCAAGTAATGCCAACACGCGAGGATAGACGGGTCAATGCTGCTATCTCCAAGGGTGTGTGTGTGTGGAGGGGCGGGCGGGGGAAGGGGACGGGGGTGGGGAGGGGGGGGGAAACTTTTCGCGGTCGCTTCCACATTTAGTGATTCAGCAACCAATCTAGCTGATGAGTATACTTCCTTACATTTCATTTTATCATATTAATCCCACGAAAAATAAAAAGTGATATAATAAACTTGATTTCACCTAAAAATTCTTCTTGACTATCCGGTCAAAATCCGTAATTACCTCCACGTTCTCCAACTCTACCGACACATTTCTGTCATGTCCAGATTTCAGTACACCCACATCAACGCCATCCCTTCAGTCATCACGTTGCCACAGTTAACTTTAAAAACACAGGTTTGTCATGATACACACACACACACACACACCCCAATCCCTACTTAGTTCCGTATACGTCCCAGCCTCGCCCCATCCAGGAAGACCACATTTTGCCTTCATACACTCTGATCCCTATGTCTGCCGTAGCCTAGTAACGAGTGCCATTTTATCTCTATCGTCATCTACTATGGCTTAAACTTTAGCTTCCCTGGCAGCAGTATCTGGCATGTAAGTATTTGAGCAAGGCTGCTCAATGAGCAGCCTTAGGTGAGAGGGATTGGAATGTTGATGTATTGTCTCGGATTTATCTGTGTTTTAAGTTTTTTTTGTGTGTGTGTTTGGTTCCTATGCAATATGTGATAAAAGACAGCCTTATAAGATACAAACCAATCATATATAATGACCTAGAAATTGATGCCAGATATCACCAAATGTTCGGGGAATTTTGTTCGCAACTGTGTATAAATATCAGAATAACTTCAGTAGTTATTTCTTCCTCGAGTATTACCTCTCCTGAGTTCACTTGAAAGATGTTGAAGGCCTTTCAACTTTTTTAACACTATATATATTCCTTATTGTTGTTCCATCATCTTGTCTGACAACTATGATGAGATATTTATTTTTTCCTATCAGAAGTTTTCCTTTGATTTTTATGATGCACTGTAGGTTTTTCTTACTGACGCTCATTTCCATGGGAATTTTTAAAACATTTATACAGAAGTTTATTTTTTCAGTATAGTCCAATACTCTGTTTCCCTCTATATCCCATCTTTATTCGGTAACTTCTCGGTGGCCTCATGTTTTATTATCATGATCTCTTGATAGTTTATCTGTATATGAGTTTACTCTTTGGTTATGTTTTGATTTACTTCATTTCCTTCCGAATCCTCAATCACATCAACAACTGTAAGAAAACCATTTTCAAGGCAAAAGATTTTTACTATAAATTCCTGTTTTTAAATTGTATACATACATAAAAGTGGGTCACATAGGCACAGTACGAATACAGCTCACTGTCATCTAAACCTTCTGTACACAAGGAGGCTGCATCACCAGTACTGCTCTCGACCACATTCAGCAATTCATATTCTTCAGTTAGATCTCATTTCAATAATTAACAGTATCATGCCTTGTGGAAACATCCTCCTTTTCCTTTACAGTCACCTCGACGTTACGGACTTTTGTGAGTGTATGTATACAGTACAACAACGTGTATCAGTAAATAATTAATAAAGTCAAATAGAAGATGAATCAAGAACTAAATTCACAGCTCAATAAAAATGAAACAATTATCCATCATAAAGAAATAAGAAGATAATATTTATGAATTGGATCATTCATGGTGTGTGTGTGTGTGTGTGTGTGTGTGTGTGTGTGTGTGTGTGTGTGTGTGTGTGTGTGTGTGTGTTTAATTCTATCTCAAAATCGATTAAAACTTAACATTGATATTATGACCTAAATTCTTTGTGGCTGAGTAAATAAAAACTTACAAGTTACCCACCGAAAGATCTTAGTTGTTGAATAACAGTAATATATTATAACATCAACGAAGATGGCCGCGGATTTCCTAAGGTTGGTACAACTGTGTCACTAAGCAAGTTTGTCTGCAACAGTTGCAAGGAAAGCAGGATGTTATCGAAAAGAAATACGTCGATTACCGATTCTGAGCGAAATGTACTTATCATCCTGGTTGCAGAAAAGGTAGTGCTGAGTGACAGGCCCAACACTACGGGAAATTAACCCAGAAACAGGACACACTGAGGAAGATTTCACAAATTTAAAAGTGGACCAAAGAAAGGCAAGATAAAGTAGTCGTAAATTGAATGTACAATGCAGCACCTGGCGCAATACCTGTCATTCATGGTTAAATATGTATCTGCTATGTTCTTAAAATATCATCTGACAACACAGGAAAGTTTTTGGCATTTGATCATACAATTGACATCAGCCACGGGGCTGCCAAACTGACTTCTCTGCTTGTCGTCATTGTGGGGGTCTATGGCTCCTTGTAGGACTACAGCAGCGAGATCAGTAGAATTGACAGGGGGCTACAATATCTTAAGATGAACAGCTAAAAGTTGGCATATACCCATTACCCAAGAAGTGTCCCGGAAATGGATCTTAGTGTACAGTAGTTGGTCGGGGGAGGGGCGGAGGGGGTACCTGGAGCCAGGTAGTATATTAACATTTCCTTCGCCGTCAAAACCCCTACCGTCAGCCAGATGTATGAACCCGTACTTTCTAAACACAAAGAAATAAACCTTCTACCTAACCAGATGAATCATAAACCCTAATATGAGTCCAAACGTTCACCATTAAACCAGATAATGAACCCTAAAAACGATGAAAAAATAAAAATAAAATATGGTAAAGGAAGCACAACAGACACTGATTTACAGTCAGCAGAATAATGATGTTATATTTTCTCAGTGAAAACTAGTTTGTTTACTCTGATTTAATAACCCTGACGGCCAGATATTCAAGTGTACTAAAAGAATTATTTCTTTAAAAACTTTCACTTTACTAGTAATAATTTTACCCCAAAGAAAATAGTCTAACCAAAGAATAGTCAAAATAAAAAGGCACCTTGTTGCAAACCATAAAATAATTCATCCCCAAAACCCTATAATGGTTAGCTACCACGTTCCCCGTGTCCTAGTCTAGTATTTAATGTCTGGTCTCCGTTAACATATCCGTCCACTGCCCTATCCGGAATCTTGTTTGCTCTCACCAAAATCTTACGACTTAGAGCTTGACTCTCTTGTACCGCCCGCACTGTATAAGAAGGAAGAATACCTACACGCAGTAAAAAGTTTCTTGTAATAAGGATGTCTTATGAGAGGTCCGCTTCTTCCTAACTTCCATTATCAGATCTAAACAGCAGTGTCCCTTACTCTGATCCACTAACAGCAACAACAGTTACGTCTGCCCCGGCCTCTGCTAGCAACAACAGCAGCAGCGACTCGCCCTCCTCCAGCACCGCCACCAGCCTCCACAGTGGGATAAAATAATAGCGAACGAGACCCAGCAGGCGGACATACAAAGTGTAGTGGAGGAGGTTGGCCGTCGTGTTGTGCATGACCCAGCAGGGCTCAGCCAGCCGTGCCGCCCTGCTGGAAGAGCGCCTGCTGAATATTTCATGTTGTTTGATATCACGGGTCAAGGCTCTGGTTCAGCAGAGGTTAGTTCCGTTCTCCTCCTACGTCTTTACTTAATGGTCACTCTCTGCTCATGACCACAACTATGGTCACTAAAGTCACAACAATGTCCTTGAGCTGAAGTCTCTTATGAAGATATAATCAAAGCTGTTGTTTTTACTTGTACCATTTCACGAATTTCATTAATTGTTAGAGACAAATTAAAAGCTCATTGGATCCTTGCTGTATGGTACCGTCGTTATAACATAAACTGGACACAAGTAAAACTAAGATTTTCATGAAGATGTAAATGAGAAATCAGTGTTCCAATACGAAATAATATCAGTTATGTATAGCATCACGAAAAGCTAAAAGTGTTATTTGTTGTTCATGTTGCTTACCTAAGCTAAAGTGCTTCACTGTCTTTTCACTGTCCATCGTCCGCAGTGCAACGGCATCAAAACATCTTGTATGGTAGATGATACCGATACATATTTCTCTGAGGGAAAGACGTGCAAAATTCAAGAGTGTTTCCCGTATTGGGTTAGGCAGTGGTTCTCTTGCTGCAATATAGAGCTACCAACTCACCATAGCATCAGCGTTGACGGAAGGGCAACAACAGGAGTTTAAG